AAGACTAGCGATTGAGGCGCAACTTGCAATTCAACTAGACTTTGATGCAGTTATCGAACTTTTTGCTAGCAAAAAATCTCGCAAAGCTTACTTTACTTAATTGTAGTACAATTAAATACAATTATTTATTTTGAACACTTAGAATTCAAAATATTCTTTTTTTTAAAAGAAAACTAAATAATATATTTGTTTGTTTGTGAAACTCTCTTTGAGAACTTAGAGTCTTTATTAATACTTTTTATTTTAATTTACATTTTCTTCTTTTATATATTATATCAAGTTAATTATTTAGAGTAAAAATATTAAAGAAAATGCTTCTTAATTAAAAAGCGTTTTATTACAAAATTTTTTGCTAGCTCTGCAATCACATCAGTGAAAAGCTTTACTATACCGACTCTTTTCTGCTTCTCAAAAGCTTCACCACACAAGAATTGTTCTTTGATTAGCCAGTGATTAGTTTCTCTTTTATAGAGGAGAAAACAAATAACAAAGGTTATCTGCTCAGTGTGAAATGTATTGGAGGTACCATCAACTATGATGGAGAAGTAGATACCATTCCCTATAGATAGATTTCTTCGACAGCTGTACTTTGAAAGTCACCGCCACATTCTCTAATGATCTCATTTTGAGACAAAAAATAGAGGTGATTGGCTCTCTTGTTGATGTTGTTTTAAATCTTCCAAGTGGGATGCAATGACGGTGTTGTGGCGACCAATAAGCTCCATACCTGCAAGTAAGTTTTCATTTCCTTTCCTATTTACGTGTGTTGCTTTATTTGTAAACATAATTGTATATAACAATTATAATTAAATTATTACAATATTTATATTAATAAATAAAATTGATGTTGAGAAAACTTTATAATAAGTTACCTAGAAAAGCTAAATTCCTAGAAGTCAAGAAAAGAGTTACACAGAAAGTTCCACGAAGAACTGTCCTCCGTTTAGCTTTATCAGAATTGATTCGCTTCTGGAGCTCTGAATTTACAGCAGTGGAGATGGTAAAATTATACTTTATGTATGCCTCTTTCCAATCCATGTAAAACTTTTGGTACAATGGGCTGGGTGATGCTGCTTCACATGATTTATAAGTTTCCTCCATTGATCCATATCTTCTCCGTTATTAAGAAGAAGGGACAACTTCCCACTTTTAAATTCTGCTTTCCTGCCCGAGAGAGAACAAGGGAAACAGTAGAGAGCCTCGGTGGTTGAACTCTAAACCAAAAAATCTCTTTCTTATTTTTCATTAGGCAAAGATTGATAAAACACATTTGAAGGGAAAATTTTCTTCTTAGAATCATCGGGATAATCTCAATGCTTCAAATAATGTGAAAGAGATTCCTTTAAAATGAATAAATCTTGACTCTAAATAACGGCCACAAAGAGGGGTCAGCATTATATATTACTAAGTCAGGTTGAGCATTACATTCTTCGCCATCGGATTAAGTTCTTCGTTCTGACTCTGATGAGTCAGTTCAAAGTTCCTTTAGCTCTGCTTGTAAATTTATATGGTCACAACTTTTTAACACAAAAAGATTGTTATGTGAAATTTAAATTTACATCGTCACAACTTTTTAACACAAAATGAAATTTAAATTTACATGGTCACAACTTTTTAACACAAAAAGATTTTGAAATTTAAAATCTGTTAATATAGTTAAATTTAGTAATTATAAAAAAAAAAGTTAAATCATTACTCATCGCCCTCACTTTTGGGGTAAGGAACAAATTTCAAAAGGGGTATTTATGTTTCCAGACTTGAATCACCAAGATTTTTAGCAAAACGGCATCGTTTGACATAAACAAAAGAATACTTAAGTTTGGAATTTGCACAACGTCTAAAAGTATCAAATCTGTAACGCCTTAAAGTTGATTTTGTCCCACTGAACAGCAGTTAGTGGTTAAAACTCAATTTTATTGTAAGAAATGGGTTCCCTGACCCCAAAAACATATGATTAGATGTATAATATGATAATGTTTTGATGTTTTCTATTTTTGCTAATGGGCCACTGTGCGTAGTCGTTAGACCGCTATACTTTTAGACATTAATGATCTTGTTTTTTACGACGCTTATTACGTAATCGTTAGTCACTAATTTTTTTAACGTTTGATCACTATATTTTGACTTTAGTCAAATTGACATATCATCATTAGTTACTATTCAAAATAATATCTCAATTTAACAAAGTATCTCAAAATAACGGTAGTTCACATAATTTAGCATGAAACATCTTGCATGAAAATAAGCAGTTAGCTTTAAATATTTTATTGATCTTCTTTAAATTTATTTAAAACCCAAGTAGCACACATTCTTTTTGCCAATTCTAACTTTTATAAATTTTCCATGAGGGTTTCAATTGTGCCATTAGTTGGAAATGAGAAAAAAATTCCTATAAAACGCTGAGAAATCTATCAAACGTGAGGCAATGAATGCAAAGTTTTGAATTTGAAAACAACCTAGTTTTAAGAGAATAGGTATGCATGAATATTCTAATCGATATTTCAGCAAAATGAAAAATACAAATAATTGCACCCAACCACTTCAAGATACTTGAATGGTTCTATCTGTATCGATCATTTTAATGTTACTAATAACTTATATACTCAATTTCAATATTGTTAAAAATGATATAAATCTAGTTCCTGAATTTGCTGATAAAATTACTTACATTTATAAACCAATCGATGAAGGTAAAATATTATTTAAATAAATGAAAATTGAAACTTTTAAACAATGTAGATACATCTATTGGCAGTGACAAAGTTTAATTGAGATTATTTAAAGAATGCTAGTTATCACTAAACTTTTTAACTCTACTAATCTTGAAAGAACCCTTAGCATCTAGCAAAGTGTCAAGTCTAAGGAAAGAAGCGAACGTTACCCCAATTTTTCAAAATAGATAATTTCCCTGACATCTATTTTTTGTAGACTTTTTGAATCAATCGTACGCAAAAAGATTATGGACCACTTAATAAAAAATCTGATTAATGGGCAACAAAATAAATTTTTACCTTAAAAGTAATTTATAACTTGTTAGTAACTATTGAGAATCTATAAACTTGTATGAAGTACAAAGTATAACTGATATTATCTACCTTAACTTTGCCAAAGTAATTGATACAGCTCCTCGTAACAGACTTCTGATAAAGTTAAAAAGTTATGGTATCAATAATTATCTTGTTTCATGCATTACATCATTCTTAGAAAATAGGAAATAAAAGAAGTAATCAGCTAAAATTGAGTTAGATTCAAACAATATTTTTATTGGTATTCCAAAAGTTTCTGTTTAAGTTCCATTTCTTTTTTTCATTTGTATTAATGACTTACCAAAAAAATTAACTAAATTATTTGCTGCTGATGCTAAAATTACTATTCAAATTTACGACAACAACTCTTCAAGACTTCGCTTTTCAAGACTTTCAAGAAATGCATTTTAATAGTAAAAAAATGGCTCAAGTATAACGATAAAACGTTTCATGTTATCCAAGTTGGGAAAAACAATCTAAAGCACGATTATACCCGATTCAAATATTGACAATATAATAACTTGAAAAAAGTTAATGTATAAGAAAGATCTAGGTATCAATTTCTCGCCAAACCTAAGGTGGAAACAACACGCGGTTAGATCTACGTCTAAAGCAAATCAAACGCTTGGTATGAAAAACTAAACCTTTAGTTATTTGGATAAACAGGGTTTTTTTTACCACAATGGTCCGTCCACATCTTGAATATGGTATTGCTGTATGTTTTTCTTACCTTAACTTGAACAAGTACAGAGACGAGCAAAATTTTTTTTATATATAATTCACACTTTAAAACATGTGGAAAAACTAATTTAAATTTAAAACAACTTTTAACTCGGCAACTTGATCCTATAAAATAGTTAAGTGATAAAATAAATAACATAAATCTAACTTAAAATGAATACAAATTCTTAGATCAATTAAATATATATATATATATATATAAATTTTTTCTAGGCTGCACCAAGAAGTTCTTATCACAGAGCACCGCGGAAGAACATTTGAAAGGAAGTTCACGCCTCCTAACTTACCGATGTTGTAAAACTTGCCAGTGGTCGCGTTGAACCACGGATCTCTACTTTTTGAGACAAGCGCGCTAACCACTGTGCTACGGCTGCTAAATATTCCAGAAAACCAGATTTAAAGACACAAAATTAGATACCAAACTGAATTTGCTAAAATTGCTTTTTCGACAAAACTATTTCCTTAATTGAGCCGCAAAACAAAACTTTTTTGTTGAAAGGAATCACTGGATAAAGTGGTCGATTCGCATACCTTAAAATAGTTCAAAAACAATCGATAGTTATCAACAAAAGAATAACAAATGAAGCAGCTTATTTAAGCAAATTGCTGTTTCAGCGTTTTACTGAATAATACTTGCTGTATTTATACCGTCACAACTTTACAACTAAGTGTTTAATTTGCCAAAAGTTTATAACTCAATTAAACTATAACTTGATCAAATTTTTTTAGCTTTTTAAATGAAACATTTGCATTATTATTTTGTCAAGTCCAAATGAGCTTGTCATTAGGCACTACAAAGGAGTTTTTGTGATGAGAAAAAACGAGAAAGCTTTTGTTTTAATTCTAACTCAATCGCTTTATGGCCATAGTTGACATTAAACATAGTTGACATTAAACATAGTTGACATTAAACATAGTTGACATTAAACTTCACATTTTCTTTATCTATATTTTCAGAAATAAATAGCAAAACAATATACAAGTTTTTTTTTAAATAAAGTCAAACAAATAGTTACTTAAACACGTACAAAATTTTCAATGTATGAAAACAATTCGTTGTATACAAAAGGAAAAAAATTGTGTAATGAAGAAAAAGCTGGTATATATATATATATATATATATATATATATATATATATATATATATATATATATATATATATATATATATATATATATATATATATATATATATATATATATATATATATATATATATATATAAAACCAATATTACTTCCAAACTTACATATTCTCTTTACAAAATACAAATACATTGCATACCAAAACCAAAAAGAATTCAAACAAAATTGCAAGTCATCTTTTTACAAATTATGTATAAACGTGGTCCTTCAAGTAAGTTGACAATTAGAGGACCCATTAACTTTAACATTTTTTAAAGAAATAACAGTTGCACTTTTAATAATTTGCCTGCTATCAATTCTGCATCAATTCCAAATATTCAATTCTATATTTGAAAAAAAAGCAAGGTTTTTCGATATATTTCCCACAAGTTTATTTACTAAGACTTTAGTCAACTTTATAGCTTCTAAAACTTTCTATTCTTGAAATGAAAAGTTGAACTTTAGCTGCGCAGATTTAATTTATTTGTAAGAAAGAATTCTTTATTTTTTATTAAAAAAATTTACTGAAAAGTAAAACATTTTTTGTTTTGAGAAATTTCTTTCTGTTTAAATCTGTTAAAAAAAATAAAAAATCATTAAAAAAAAAAAAAGTATTATTTTAATTAAAAAAAAAAGAAAAGAAAAAAATATTTCAATGTTTTTGTGGTGCATGACTTTAGATGCATGTTATAAAAACATTAAAAATGTTTAAATTGTGCATTATCCAAGTACATATTGTTTAAACATTTAATTTTCATAACATATAACAACGAAAAAAATTTAACCGTAAGAAAAGACATTAGAAAATATTATATTCTTTGCGGTGCAGAACTCGTGCTCCATCTTTTAGTTTTGACCAAACATTGAAATCGCTCTTTGATTGGTTTAAATCAATACTCATAATTTCTTGATACTTCATTTGTTTTTTAAGAATCTCTTCGTCCTCTGTTAAATAACGTAACCAGCCCAAACCGAGTGAATATCCTAAAACATATGATTGCAAAAATACTAATATAAGTTGAAGATCGAGTGAATATCCTAAAAAATATGATTATTAAAAAGTCGAATAAAAATAAAATGTAACGATTATGATGCTATTAATCAACATTTAAAAAATTTTTTTTTTACTTCAGGTTTTTTTAATATTTGAAGATACTTTTCTCTTTTTTATATAATTTTCAAAACCTTTTTATTACCCGGAATAGTGAATCTAAAGAACATCATTTTGGAGTCTTTAAATCAATTCCGCTCATCGGGGTTAACATGAAATTAGTTAAAATCTTTTAAAAAAGTTCCTAAATTTACTATAGATTCTAGCTTTAATCGGTTCTGATTTATATATATATATATATATATATATATATATATATATATATATATATATATATATATATATATTCTAATTATATTTAACTGTATATAGTTGTCAATATACAATATTTCTATCAATTTTTACAAAAAATACTAGAATTCCGACCAAGAAAGAGCTTTTAATTAAGAAAAAATGCCAATAAACAATCAGAACAGATCATATTATTAAACTATGATGTTCATTTTAACTAAAAAACATATTTATTTAAAATTTCGTTCAAATTTGGGCAAGCGATTGGGATTTTTAAAAAAAAAAAAAAGAATCTGTGGTCTGCAACAACAAATTTTTATTTTATGATACCGCAAAATTTATCATTTTAATTTTTTTCGTCTTTTTATAATTCGCAGACCTGATCTTTTAACGGAAATATGTAATAGCCAACAAAATATCATACAGTCGCTATAATATTTTAAAACAGTCGCTATAATATTTTAAAACAATAAAAAAACGCCCACTCGGTGTATACTACACCGAGTGGGCGTTTTTTTATTGTTGCTATTGAGCTGATCTACTACTGATCCTAGTTCTAATCGGTTCTGACTTATTAACTATATATAGTTGTCAAAATACAATATTTCTATCAATTTTCACCAAAAATACTAGAACTTCGACCAAGAAAAAGCTTATAATTATGGAAAATTACCAATAAACGATCAGAACAGATCATATTCTTAAACTATAATGTTCATTTTACCTAAAAAACGTATTAATATAAAATCTTGTTCAAATTTGAACGAGCGATTGTGATTTGAAGATAATTAAAAAAAAAAAAAAAGAATCTTTGGTCTGGGCTTTTTCGCTTCAAACATTTATATTTTATGATTTATTATTTTAATACTTTTCGTCTTTTTATAATTCACAGACCAGACCATTTAACGGAAATATGTCGTAGTCAACAAAATATCATACAGACGCTATAATATTTTAAAAGTGCCTTAACTACACAGAGTAGTCGCATATTTTGCATATCGTAACGCGTCTGTTGTGAAATTAGGTTTGATTTAAGTTAATACTCTTTGATTAATAACTTGATTTCATTCATCACCACTATAACTAACCACTTTCATTTTTTTTGTTCTTTTTTTTCCACCCTTAGACTGTTTACTTTTTTTATCTTGTTTCTAATCAAATTGACCAAAAATTTTCTTCTTTTCTATCTGTCAAAAGGATTGGTTTTCCGTCTCTCAATATTATTGGTTTTAGTAATGCTAATTACATTTAGTACCAAAAATCTTGTTGGTACTTAAACTAAAAAATATTTTATTATCAATATCTTAAACCTTGACTCAATTAAATAACTAATGATTAAAATGATTTATTTAAACTAAAATATTTTGTATTTTCAATATTTTAAACCTTGACGCAAAATGACTCATGACGCAAAATGATTAATGAGATTTTTGTTTTTGGTTCAGGGGTGAGAGTGAGATATGAAAACAATTAGAATTTTATTTTTTACAGTTTTATGAACTCATTTTTTGTATATACTACTTACTATATATATATATATATATATATATATATATATATATATATATATATATATATATATATATATATATATATATATATATATATATATATATATATATATATATATATATATATATATATATATATATATATATATACATATATATATATATATATATATATATATATATATATATATATATATATATATATATATATATATATATATATATATATATATATATATATATATATATATATATATATATATATATATATATATATATATATATATATTGTAGGATTTATGTTAATATTTCTAGTAAGAGAGCTCAATACAGCGTGTTATATAATTAGTAGAGCAAATATAGTGAAAACTAAATAATTATTAAGATATATTTAAATTGCATAAATAAAGGTTTCACGCAATAGCGATCATCAGATGTAACAACAACAAAAAAGTAACGACAAAAAATATATAAAAAAAATGCTATGGAGTATCCCCTTTGATGACATTAAAGTTCTTTATTAGAAATTTATTTTCATGGCAGCACTTCAATGAAAGCTCGGTTGGTTTGTTAAGCAAATTTAATGGTGATGTAATAATGTGGTATTTTTCTGTCAAGCATAAATTGCAAAACTTACCACCAGGTTTGAATGGCTCTGCTTGATCAAGAAAATTCCATTTTAATATAGATTCTATACCTTTATTTTTCCATTCCCACACAAATTTCGAAAGTTCAGTGAAGTTGGCCTTACTTTCATAAGAAAGGAGTTTTTATGCTTATACCACCTGTCTTTAAAAGTTTTCTCAGTAAGCCCAACGTAATAATATCCTTCTTCTTTTTGGTGAGTTTTTGCGTTGCAAATATAAAATAGATTTTTTGAAGGCATTTTACATTGAGTGGGCATAAGGTGGTTTGTCGACAATTGCATAATTGATTAGCATTTTCATGAGAATTAAATAATAACTTTTTATTATGAGAAGTAATAATACTCTTGATGTTTGGAAGACAGCTATAAATAACCTTTATGTTGTTTTGATTAAAAAGTTTGTGAAATTTGTGACCTTTAGGGAAACATATATCAATTGTACTCAAAAATGTTTTGGCTACATTTGTTCTTGAGAATATATAATATATATATATATATATATATATATATATATATATATATATATATATATATATATATATATATATATATATATATATATATATATATATATATATATATATATATTCAGTATTTTGCAAATTTATTGCAAACATTTTTCATTTTAATACTATTATTACTATTCTGATTTTATTTTTAAAAGAAATAAAAGTAAGCATCATCAGCAGAAAAATGATGCCATGGAAGATAAAGGTTGTCATGGAAAGATGGTGTCATGGAAGTTGAATGATGTCTTTGAAGGCTTTTAAATAATGCAAAAATGTCTTCAGATATCTTTGCATCATTTAAGTATCAACAAAATTTTAGAAAATAAAAATTATCAATTTTTATCCCAAATTTAAAATATAAATACAGTTTTTATTTAAAAAAAATAGTTTAAAAATTTATGACTTATGACTAAATAGTGTAAATACTATATAAGTATGCTACATATGCAAATACTATATAAGTAGACTAAATATGCAAATTAAAAGTATTATTGAACATAAAAATCAATAGTATTAAATATACCATTAGCAAAATATTATTAAATATTACAAATCATATTTTAGTTCACAAAATTTCTGCACAAAGAAACTTAAGCTTAACTATAACAATTTGTTTTCAAGGAAACAATGGTGTCTCATCGAACAATAGATTTGGTGTCTCATTGAACAATAGATTTGGTGTCTCATTGAACAATAGACTTGGTGTCTCATCGAACAATAGATTTGGTGTCTCATCGAACAATAGATTTGGTGTCTCATTGAACAATAAATTTGGTGTCTTATCATATATAATAATACAATTATCAAACTAGGATATTTTTTATCGACCACTAATGAAAAATATGTGTAAAATTTACCATACATTAAACAAGTTATACAAATACACTTATGTTAAAGAGAATGCAGATAATAGTACTTTGATTAATGTGATATAGTATGACAAAGTAAATGGTAGATCTTTTAATGATATTATGATACAATTTAATAATATAAATGGTGCAAGAGTTATCAATAAGCATATAGAAGTCAAACAAATAAAATGTAAAAACACTGAATCTTGTCATGACTGAATCAAAAAATTCAAAAACATAGAAAACTAATTTATTGAAATTTATCAAGTAATGCAAATATTATTAAATATTAAACATTCAGATAAAATTATAAAAATTAAAGTATTTTTGTAAAATATGAGGTATATAAATGTGTTGTTTCCTCTAAGAATGTACCTGATAAACAATATATTGGCATAACAAAGGGTAAATGGAAAAAATGTTTTGCCAATCATAAACAATCCTTTAAAAATAAAAAGTATTCAAAAGACACCAAGCTGTCAAAATATATATGGGAATTAAAGGATAAAAATATTGATGATTTTATAATGAATTGGTCCATCCTTAAAACAGCACCTGCATATAACAGTATTTCCAAAAAATGCATACTATGCCTACAAGAAAAATTTGAAATTATTACACATGCAAACCAAGAATGTTTATTAAACAAAAAACCGTAGTTAACTTCTAAATGCAGGCAAGAAAATAAGTTCCTCCTAAAAAAATATAAAAATAAGTGAGCTCAAATAATAATTACATTAAATCCCCCCTTTTAAAAAATACTTTTCAAAAAAAGCAGAAGTAATCAATTCTAAAGAATTCTTTTTATAATAGTGTCAGCATATTCCACATATTTACAGTAGTTATGACATTTGCAACTTCCTGTAATTTTTTTTCCTGGACAAATAGTCTTATCTTGAAACCAAAGATTTAAAACTTCAACACATAGGTCCACATTTACAGTCATTAATGGTCTATTTTTATGGAGTTTTGCATTTTTATTATTATTGTCATAATTTTTATCAAAGCATTTTAATCAAAAAACTTTTAAATTATCTAATAGTGCAAAAATATTTAAATGAAAAATAGCATTAAAAAAAAAAATGCTATCATTCGAACAATTATGAACAGTAATATATATATATATATATATACATATATATATATATATATATATATATATATATATATATATATATATATGTATATATATATATATATATGTATATATATATATATATATATATATATATATAGCCTGTATCATAAACATATTTGTAGTGCTTGAGTACTTGTGATTATTTTGAAGTAAATGTATAGTATAAATAAACAATAAAATAACATTAAAAAAAATATATATATATATTAAATAAAAGTATGAAGTTAGAAAAAAATGTTAAATATTTTTAAAGCAGTAAATATTCCAAAAATTATTTATCCTCACCTTTCTGTTGAAAGTATGCACTTATTTCTGCATCATCTTTTTGAATTTGCATCTCTATATTAATCCGTAGATAATTACAAAACTTACGCACAAACTTTGAAAGCTTTACTTCTAGTACTTCATTTGCACCTAAAATATTTTTTAGATCATTGTTGTGTTTAGAAGTTTTTATAACATATTAGTTTCAAAGCTTCTTATAAATAAAAAATGTTTTTGTAAATAGAAATTAAACTATAACAAGAAATTTTGAAATAATGTTAAAGTTAGTTTTGAAATTTTTTATTTTTCCATTTTATTTTTTTTATAATAATATTGGTGCTATATCATGGGATGTCCCACCCAGTGCTGTTTTTACCTATGGTTATCACAGGCAAATGCTTTGAGGCCACTGCAGAAGTTCAGAGGTCAATTTAAAATCAATGACCTTTTTTTGTTAGAGGCCATTTTATTATTAAAGATCTTTTTTATTTTATAAAAATTTTTAGTCAAAAATATGATGTAATTATCATTTAATTGCAAAAAAATTATTTACATTTTTTTTTTTTTTTGACTTATTTACATTGATTGGTTTTAAAAGAAAGCGCACAATTTATAAATCTTGTATGAATTTAAAATTTTAAAATATGAAGTGATTTCAAACATGGTATTCAACACGTTATGAACAGTTTTTTTTTTTTATTTGATTTTTTTTAATTTGTTTTCATATTGTGAAATTTAATAGAAATTTTAAATTGTTATTCTGCTGTACTTAATTTGTTATGCTATGTTTTATGTTATAATACTTTGAAAAAACATTACAATTAAGGATGTTTTATTTTCAAGGCTGTTTTAAAGATAATTATTGGGTTTAATAAAAAAAAAATTTCTTCAAAACAATTTATGCACTAAGCAAAGTGGGTGCAATAATGTTAAAAAAATTTATAATAAAATTATTAATGACTCTCATATTTAATATGAGAGTTATTAAATGTTGTGTAAATTTTATAAACACAAATTTATTCGAAAATCTTACAAATTTTTTAATTGAAAAATAACTTAGGTTTCTTGTACTACTTTCTTATAAATAACATTTTTACAAAAAACAAAACAATGTGTTCATATATTTTTGGAAAATCAAGTAAAATAAAAAATGTTTAAACTTTTTAAAGTATTATGAGTACTTAAACAATTATCTTTTACAATGCAATATGAGATGCATTAGAACTTTAGAACATTAGAGTTTTTTATTTATTTAGGTGGTAAAGTCCTGTTTTTCATCAACTTTTTAGTCATAAATTATAACTTGGATAGCTTGGGAAAAAGAAATTGTGGTAGTAAAAGAAAATCAAGGTTTTGTTTTATATAAAAAATACTTTTTATCTTAAGCCTAGAGTTCTTAAAATTTATAACAATTTTTGTTCAAGTGTTTCTGTTAAGAAAAATTTGAACATTTAAACAAACTTCCGTTTGTTTAATTGTTCAAGTGTTTCTTAACAGAAAAAACACTCCAATATTTATTAAACACTTTAATATTTATTAACTCCTATATTTATTGAAACTTTTTATTTTATGCACACTACAGAAAAGAATATACTTGTGATGTGTTTTCCACAATGAGTATGAAGTTTTTATACAGATTACGCAAAACGAGTATACTTGTCAGCAATAAAAGCCAATTGAATTGCTTTATTACTGTTAGAATTCAATAAAATTGAAGTTATTGCAGCGTAAATTATGTATACCTTCAAAAAAAGTTTTTTTAAAGTAACTGTACAGCTTGCACAAGGTTACACTTATTTTCTGATTTGGTTTTATTATTTTATATATTTTATTACTTAATTACTTTATTATTTTAATTATTATTTTCCTAATATTGTTTAATATATAATTTTATACATATTTGTTTTATATATAATTTTAATGGTTTAGCTTAGTAATTTTTTAATCTCTTTTTTTTTTTTTTTTTGCTTATGCAATACAATGATCGCAAAAAGTGACCAACGGAGCTCAATTTTTTATCTAGAGTTTAGAACATATATAGTACCGCATTTATTAGACATTTGTATGGTGCAATTATTTTAGTTATGAATACCATTATAAACCAGCGGATTTTTATTGACTTGTTTACTCATAGATCATTGTTTTATCATTTGCTAAAAGATGACTAGAGTGTGAGTTTTTATTCCTCTTTTCCTGAGTTGCTAACTTTTACTCCTCCTACTTAATAGTCTTTGAATTAATTTATGTTTTTTTACCTAAATGACATTATCTTCTATCTGTTTTTATTTTCACATCTCCCAGGTCAACATAACTGGACGGCTGCGTTGGTCACTTTTTGCGATCATTGTGTCGCATAAGCAAAAAAAATTAATTCTTTGTGGCTGGTGAGCCCTAATTTTTTCCAATGTAGACCACAACGACAAAATGGACATTAGGCTATCCCGCTGGATGTGGTTACGGCGCTCAATAACCTAATGACTACGCTGACACTCACGCACATGTTCAGTCGGAAGCTCCACAATGCACATTGGATCAGCGCTCGCTGACTATGTGCTCGGATCTGAAATCTCACTTCATAGCACATCATTCCACGCCAGCACAGGGCAGTAGCTCTTTTGGTTAAGAGTGATGGCTTGTGGCCTACGGTGACTAATGTGTGCATTTGAACAATTGAAATCCATTCTGTAGGTCTCACGTCTGGCTCTGATGTGCTAGCCCATAAGTGCAAGAAGTGAGTGTGTTTAGCTTTCTATTCACCCGATTTGAAAGTGAACGGAAACATAACGAGACCATACTAGACGACAAATGGTACGTACTAATGCACTACACCATCACACCTGTAGACATCAACAGTCTTCAAAATCAGTATATCAAATATTTGTTCTTTATTATATACTTTTGTTCATAATCTTTTTTTACCCCACCCTTGTATGTTTATTCAGATTTGTGTTATGTGTGAATGAGGCCGTATATTTGTGAGAAGTATAACAGCGCAAAAATTTTACACATAAGTACGGCTTTTTACTTAGTTCAGCTTAGTAATTTTTTAATCTCTTTTTTTTTTTATACAGATATAATGGCTAGATATATAGAAGAGTTTGAATTGATAAAAAATAATATATGATATACCACAGAATAATACATGATATACCACAGAAGAGTTTGAATTGATAAAAAATCATGAATTAGAAGAGCTGGAACCATGTGATTTTTTCAATAATCATGATTTTAGTAATGATACAATGTCACCTTGTTTTGAATTAGACTCTGATCCAGACCAAGATTATTGTAGAAGGACTATTTCTGTAGTTGCTGTTCTTAACCTTGATTCTCAATTACGATTCTAAAACAATATGTGGACCAGAAGTCTTCGAACAAGTGGCGGAATGCAAACTTAAAGAGGTTATAAAATTTTACTAAATGACTCAACTGGGTTACTTTAAATAACAACATAATAAGTGAGGATCATGATAGTAATGATTAGGAAGAAGATCCATCAAATATAAAAAATTTTATTTTCCACGAAATACCTGGATTGAATTTGGATGTTCCTGAAAATGCACTTCCAATGTTTTCCTTTAATTTGTTACTGGCAGATGACTTACTGAATACTTTGTTACAGAAAACAAACGAATATGCTGACAGAGTTATCAACACAGCTAGACCATTACAATGTAGATCTTAAAGAAGCCATTTGAAAGATGTCAATCAAAGATAAGATAAAAAAATTTATTGGAATCCTTTCAAGTATGGATTTAATCTGTGTACCATTTTACAAAAAGTATTGGAGTAAAGAAACTCTGTACAAAAACAAACATTTCTTCCCCCCTGATAACCAGAGAATGATTTGAGTTAATATTACATTTTTTTTAACTTCAATGAAAAGCCTGAATTTAAGAATAATAGACTAAGCAATCTGTAAATGATTATTGCTGTGTTCATAATATACTCCAAAAGACCGGCACTGATCTATCCAATTAAGCCATGATACATGTATATAAATATGACACACGTACTTCATAAAACAAAATTAATATAATTGTTAATAAAAGGTCAAGCTAGTTTACAAATCAAGTGGCCTTTCACTCTTTATTTTTCGCATGCAACTTAATACTTGCATAATTTCTTTTTCATTTATCTCCTTCGGGATTTTTTTTGCTTCTGCTATTATTTTTTTGTACACCATCATCTCTGCATTATCTTGGGTCGATTATGTAGAGCATTATGTAGAGCAAATTTAGTATAACCTTAATCTTAAGATAAAATTGATTTTGACGGAGAATATGTTTATTGTGATTTAATTTGACTTTATATGATCTAGGGGCTACGCACTTTATTATTTTACCTCTTAGACTCCATAGCCACATTTTGACTCTGCTTGAAAAAGTATGGAACTAAAGTATGAATATTTTTATCATGTTAGTTTTTGGATTGAATTCTTTCTTTAACAATGTCTCTAGATGTTTTATATGGTTTCTTTTTTTGATTTTGAAATATAGGTAAATTATCTTTTAGTTGTCATTCATGTAGTAGTTCTGCTGGAGATAACCCAAATTTTATTGGAGTATAGCAGAATATTAGAATACCTTTAAAAATTTTGTGTTTTGCATTTGCACTTTTCCATTCCTAAGTAACCTTCATAGAATTTTGAAAGTATTTCTTTTCGCATAATAACTGGGATTATTATTCTGTTTTTATATATCAAAAAACCATCAATTTTAACTTTTTTTTTTTTAAATTTCAATAAGGCTGAAGATTTTTTGGACAACATTTTTTAGAATTCAGCCATCCAGAAACTATACTATCTTGTAGTCATTGAAAAAGTTCATCCTGCTCAGTTTTCAGCCTAATTTTTTCTATTTGACTCTCTGTAGCCGGAATACTTTTAATTATTGAATTAAGGTATATGCCTAGATCATTTCCTGCAATTTTGCCATCCTCTGTAGGCTGCAATACAGGTGCACACGACATTGTATCAGCATTCATAATTGACTTGCCAGCAACATGCTCTATAGTAAATGAAAATCTTAACAACTTCATTCTTAATCATTGAATTTTTGAATCTCGGTAAGTGAACAATAATTTAATATAAGAATTAAAGGTTTGTGATCTGTGTCTAAAATAAAATTTGATAAACCTTACAAATACTTCAACATCCACGTGGACCCCTATGTTACAGCTAGCATTTCTATTTTGATTGGATAATAATTTTTTTCTGTTGTTGTCAAAAATCTAGATGCACAATCAGTTGGTTTGTATACACAATCAGTTGGTCTGTATAGTTTGGTACCCCATCGTGATTCTGATAAACAACTGCACTAACACTAACTCAGAGACATCACACCCTTCGCTGAAATTTTATGTCCTAAAAATTGCTCTTCACTTTGATTAAATATGCACTTTACTTAATTAAGGGTAACTGCATGTTCCAGAAATTTACTTAGCAATCCAACTAGATTTTCATTGAACTCATTTTCTGTGTTGCAAAAAAGTAAAAAATCATTCATACTTTTTATGACTCCTTTAAGACCGTCAATCACGTGATTTATTTTTTACTAAAGATTTCTGGAAGTGATGTTAACCCAAATAGACCTCTTGTTGGGCAAAAACGACCAAGAGGTGTGGTAAACGTACACTTTAACTGACTTTCCAAATCCATGGGTAGTTGCCAATATCTTGAGTTAGTGTCTAATTTAGCCATATATTTACACCCATTTCCTAATAGCGCCAATGTTTCATCTACACTTTTTAACTCATGTAGAACTATATTGAGAATTCGTATTTTATATCTTTATTTAGTTGTGTCAAAACCCAAAGTTGTCCATTAGGTTTTTTTACAACTACAGTTAAATGAAACCAGTCAGTTGGTTGATCTAAAACTTTGATAAAACCCATCTCTTTCATACATTCCAGTTTTAACTTTAGTGGTTCTAGAAGTGGGAACAATACTCTCTGCTAAGCTACAATATGGTATGGTGTCACATTTTAAGTACCTCAATATGTACAGGGTCACCTTTAATTGTTCCAAACCCATTGAATATTAAAAGAAACTGTTCTACCATGTTATTTTTTGTTATTTTAATCATATCACACATAAATTTTTCAGGAATGTCTATTCTAACTAGGTTAAACTTTTGTAAAGCAGGTTTACCTAATAAAGCAGCTTTCACATTATTACAAACATATATGGTAATTAACTCACTGTTCTGACCATTAATTATAAATAATTTTTGGAAATATCCTTAGCAATTTAGTGGTTTATGATCAGGGTCTAATAATTGTTTGCAGCTAGTATGTAATTGATTTTAATTCAAAACTTTTTTAAATGGTTAGATCCGATTAATGGTAACTTTGGCACCAGTATCAATTTTGAACTTTATTATACCATTTTTTACTTTTAGCTTTTATTTCCCAAGGTTCTTCTGGCACAGAACTAATTCAATCCAATTGCACAAAATTAGATTTCACACTTCCCAAATATAAATGCTGCTGTAACATAATTCTTGACTAAAAGGATGCTTTTTAAAACAGAATTTACACGACAATGAATCTATTCTTAAGTCTCTTTTATTGCCAGTGTTCTGTATCTGTGAATTAAGTTTTTTTCTGTTGTGTATATTTTGTAATTCAGATACACTTTAGGGTGTGCTTTTTCAGAAGAACGACTTTCTACTGCTTTATCCGGTGTTAACCTCTTTTCAGAAAGTAATTTTATTTGTGCTTTGTCACATTGTATCCCAGATACAATTTTATCTCTTAGTAAACTGTTAAGACAATTGGTTGTTTTACAAAAATTGAAGTTTTTACTTAACAATTTTATTTAAGTCAAGAAATTATCAAAACATTTACCATCTTCTTGAAAACGTTTACAATATTTATGTCTTCCCAAAGTTTCATTAATAATACCCTTGGCAAAGATTTCCATTTGCTCCAATATAACAAAAGGGTATAATTTTTCATCATCAGTTAGACTTGATGATTCATAAATTTTTTGAGTTTCTGAAGAAAACATATACCTTAACATAGCAGCTCGATATGCAAGTGGGTTTTTTTTTCTTAACTCAACAACAAAATATAATCATGTCATTTCTTAATCCCAGAGCAAAATGCAGCATATCTATCTGCAACTAAATCTAAAATTAGAGGAGAAACACCAAGTTAACCGATTTCTGCCATTTTTTATAAATAGATTTTTAAGATTAAACAAGATAATCAGTAAGACTTTATATTCACTCATTTATTTAAATACTTGTAGCGCCATGTTTTGTTCATAATATATTCTCTTCAGATGACCGGCGCCAATTTATCCAATCAAGCCATGATGCATGTATATAAAATGATACAATTATGAATCATTTGAACAAATTAATGCTCAAATTGATAACACCAGATAAAAATGATGTGCTCACCATATCTAATGCACACATTTCACAAATCGTAAAAGTTACCAAACGCCATAAAAAAAATAAAAATACAAACCAAATATTGTCAGAGACTAAAATAAGTCAATGTTTGGGATTGATCGAAGTGACCAGATGCTATCCTATCAGTCTGGTCTCCAAAAAAATTTAAGATGGTACAAAAAAGCAGGAGTACATATTATAGAAATAATGTTATATAAAATAATTCTTTCTATCTTTATACCAAAATTTCAAATAATAAAGAATTTTTCCATTTTGTTTAGTTTCAAAAGAACAATGTAAAAAGTTTAATTGAGGAAAAAAAATTAAAACTATCTGCAAGAAGACCTATGATATGCTTGTGGATACTGCGCTGACCAACCAGCTCTTTGTATTGATCCTTGTTTTAGATATGGATTTCGGTCTTCTCGTTCTACAGCTGATGTGCTAACAGTAATAACCGATAGGTTTTACCGTGCATTAGATAGAGGTGGAGAGGTTAAGGCTATCGCACTTGACATTTCTAAAGCTTTTGATAAAGTTTGGCATGCTGGTCTTCTCCATAAGCTTTCTTCTTATGGTGTAGCTGGTAACGTCTTTAAGATTATTGAGTCCTTTCTTTCCAATCGTAGTATAAAAGTTGTCCTCGATGGACAACACTCTTCTTCACATCCTGTAACTTCAGGGGTTCCTCAAGGTTCAATCCTTGGCCCTATACTCTTTTTAATTTACATTAACGATCTTCCAGATATTCTCACATCTAAGGTGGCATTATTCGCTGACGACACTACCATTTACTCTTGTCATGATAAGAAGCCTACACTCTCTGATTGCTTGAAGGGGGTATCTGAGCTTGAAAAGGATCTCACTTCCGCTACAGCATGGGGCTCACAGTGGCTGGTGAACTTTAATTCAGATAAAACTCAATTTTATTCGGCCAATCGTTATCGTAATAATTTAGATCTTCCTATATTTATGAATGGTAATGTACTAGATGAGTCATCTACCATTCATCTTCTAGGATTAACTCTTACTTCTGATCTTTCTTTTAAACCGTATATCAAATCCATTGCAAAATTAGCATCTGCTAAGGTTGCATCTCTTTATCGAGCTCGACACTTTCTTACTCCAGATTCTATTCTCTATCTCTATAAATCTCAAATCCGTCCCTGTATGGAATACTGTTGCCACATCTGGGGCGGATCTTCTAATGATGCTCTTTCTCTTTTAGACAAGGTGCAAAAACGAATTGTAAACATAGTTGGACCTGCTCTGGCAGCCAATCTCCAACCTTTGTCACATCGTCGTAATGTTGCTTCTCTTTCTCTTTTCTACAAATACTATAATGGGCATTGCTCTAAAGAGCTAGCGTCCCTTGTGCCATCTACTAAAATTCATTCTCGTGTTACTCGCCATTCAGTTAAGTCTCATCCTTTTTCTGTGACTGTTCCTAAGTGCTTCAAAAACTCTTATTCTTCTAGTTTTTTTCCTAGAACATCAGTTCTTTGGAATTCGCTTCCTTCATCTTGCTTTCCTGATTCATATAATTTGCAATCTTTTAAGTCATCAGTCAATCGTTATCTTGCTCTACAGATTTAGTCTTTTCTCTTCCAGTAACTTCCAACTCTTATAGTGGTTGCTTGCAGCCTTGTTGGAAGTGAAGATGTTAAAAAAAAAAAAAAAAAAAAAAAGATTGTACCACCAAAACATGGGAGAAATAGATGAAGCATCAACGGTTTTGAGCAATGCCGATATAAAATATTTATATGCAAATGTTATTTTTAAATCTGTAATTTTTTCAATAAAGAAATAGTTGAAAAAACCCTTTTAATATTTATATTTATGACACCTTACCCCTAAAAACCATAAAAAGAGCCCTTTTTATTTAAAATTAAAGATAAAGTAAAATATTGACAAATATATGTTTTCATGTAAAAACTTAACTGATGGATGTTTAATTCAAAATACAAAATCAATTTTAAAGAACAAAACCTTCAATTTTAAAGAACAAAACCTTCAGAAAATTATCAAAATAAAATCATTAAATTGTTTAAACTTGTCTTTCCGCAACATGTTAAAAAGTAATAGTTTGTTCCAAAATCTTGCAAAAATTTAAAATTTGTATATCATAGTTTTTTATAATTGAATTTTAAGTGTTTGTTTTCATCAGTGACTTGTCACAAAAAAAAAAAATTAAAACACATTACTGTATGGTTGAAGTTTCTGTTTCTTCAGCCTTGCACATGAAACTTCAAGGGTAAAGCCTAAAACAATTGCACATAAAATGACAATTGATCCATAGTAATATATTCCTTGTGAAATTTTTGATTTAGGATCAATCAATCCAGTGTCCAAAGTAGAAACCTTTTTGCCAACCTATAAAAAATAAAAAAAATACCTCTTTTTAAAAGTTGAAAAACCTTTAAAGATAATATATTTAAAAGTAAAAAAATAATCAAAACAACAATCAAAAAAAAAATTCTATTAATAACTGTATTAGACTTATTAAAAAATTTTTTTTAAAGCTGTTATTAATTTTTGAATATTGCATTAAATAAGAATTCTGTTACTGAAAGATAAGAAGAAAGAAATTGGTCTCTTGGGAAGAAAGAGATCAATAAAGAACAAAAAAAAAGGTGGTTGAGTAAACATTTACTAATAATTTGATGGAGCAAACGCACAAATTGATTTTGCAATAAATACTTTACTTGATTACTTGACTTAAATCAAGTCATTACAATGTATGTATGTGCTCAGCCTAGTGTGTGACTAATGGATAATAGCTATTAACTCAATAATCTGAAGATAAAACAGACAAATTTAATAGAAGACCAATTAGGTTAAAATTGTTAAAGAAGTAGGACTTAAAAAATCAGAAGTTTTTTAAAGACAACTAATATTTGTAAAGGATAAATTGAAGTAGTTTGGTGGTAATGTTGGATTTTTTAAACTATTATTTAAACTTGTTTATATCAACCACAGAGTTTGAGAAACTTAAGTTCCTGCATGATTCAGAACTATTAAATTGAAATTTAGAGCTGCAGATTTATTTCAACAGAAAAGGAAAATAACATAATAATTTGCACAGCTACTACTAAATGATTTGTCTTAAAAAAAAAAAAAAAAAAAAGTGCTTTAGAAAAGTTTGTGTTATAAAGAACTTTGCTCTTCTAATTGCACTAAAATTATTTTTATATTTTACATATATTTGTTTCATTTTACATATATCTTTGTTTAGCAACCTTTGTTGAGAAACTAGCTGAACTTGTAAATACAAAATAAAAAACATAGCAAGTTGTTTAAAGATAGTTACAAGTTAATATCATTCTTCCTTTAATGTATCTGTTTCTACAGGTGATGTTAGGCTTCTATGATGGTAGTAAATAGTCAAAATTTTCCCTTGTATATCATACCATATATTACTATTTATAACTGATGATGATGATAATGAATGATGAATGCACAGAAGAAGTAGAGAGTAGAATTAGGAGTGAAATAGCATAATACAAGGTAAATTTAGTAATAAAAAGTAACGGAGTAGACATAAAGTAGGTTCATTTTTCATGTTTAATTTATATATTACTATCCCAAAAAAGTTGCAAAAAGCACAACAGATTAGAATCAATACTTTTTATTGTCTTATGGTGTCCAAAAGTGTTAAGAAACTTTATCATTGTTGTTTCTAGTTATAAATCATGTTTCTAGTTAAAACTCATATGCCACAATTTACACAATTAAAATTATAACAAGTCGTTTGAACCATTAAAAAAGAGAATTTGCAACTTTTTACACAATGCTTTTCTCTTTAAATATTTTATTAAACTTAAAAATTATATAAATATTTATTTGACCAAAATAAAAGGTTAAATTACTGATAAAAAAAAATCACCTGTATTGACTTAGTTATATTTTCAACAAGATTCTTCATCATCTGTGCTTGCGCATTTACATAAGATCGTATTTCTTCTTCCACTTTGATTATATCAGAAGATAGAACAACCCCCCATCCACATTGTTCTGGTATTATTTTCACAATCTTAAAGTTCCGCTGTTGAAAGGACTCTATTACTGAAACAACTTTAAGTGAATCCAATAAGATCCCATCTAAAACTTTAGATTCAAGTGCATTTAATAAGCTTTCTATGTCTTTGAACAGATAGCCTAAAAAAAATTGTTACTTGAAATCTGTTCATTAAAATTGCTTTTAAAGCTTAAATATTATAAAAATTTCGACTTTTTTAAATTAGCTTTATGTAGGGGAAAGCGGGGAGACTTTTTTTAATCTAATTAGGCTTATTTAATAACTAAGTGATATATTTTTTTGTCAAACTTTAATGTTTAAATTAAATTTTAAAACTAATGTTTTAACATATACATTTTTTTAATATTTTAATTTTAACTAACTTTCCATATACTTCTTGATTTTTGTTGTTAAAAAAAAAAACCTTTTTTTAAAATGTCAAGTGTCAAAAGTCATTTTGCACGAAGTTACACTAACTTCAGGTATGTATAGAGAGAGATTAAATAAATGAATGTGCAATTTTAATCATGATGATTTCAATCATGATGATTTCAATCAAGATGGTTTCAATCATGATGGTTTTAATCATGATGGTTTCAATCATGATGATTTCAATCATGATGGTTTCAATCATGATGGTTTCAATCATGATGGTTTCAATCATGATAGTTTCAATCATGATGGTTTCAATCATGATGGTTTCAATCATGATGGTTTCAATCATGGTGGTTTCAATCATGATGGTTTATTGTTGTTTTTAAGCTATTGCAATTGGTATTCATCCAAATCGTATTCAAATTTAAATGGTTTATTTTGAATATAATATTTTACACAAAAGAAGTGTTTTTTTCACACTAAAATTTAATTTTGCGGAAAATGTCAACTAACTTGTTTTAAAACTGAGGTTGTATGTCTACTAACATATCTACCATAAACAAAATTTTTCTAATTTCAAAAGGGTATGAGTTTTTCAAGTGTCCATTGTCTCCCCATGTCTGAAGTCTCCTTGCCCTCTTTATTTTAAAGTTACATTACAACAAAGTTACAACTAATTTTACTGTTAATTTAACCTTTTAATTTCATATTTAAGAAGTTAAATATGGAGGCAGTAAAAAAATGAAAGTATTAGAAATTAGTTCCATAAAAAGACAAGATAAAAAAAAAAAAGTTAAGTTTAAGTTATTTTTCTATTGATAAAAAAATACTATTTTTTCCACAACCATTTTTCATGTGGGTTTTTTTTATTGGCATATTTTTTATTGGCACATTATTCATATCTACCAAAGCATATATAGGTTAACATTTTTTTTGTTGACTTAAAACCATATAGTTTTTTTGGAAAAAGAAGAAAAAAGAACAAAAATTTGTTGCCCCAGCCCAAACCCTTTGTCAATATAGCATTAAAAAATATTGAGAAAAACAAGAAGTTCATACTAGTTTCTCTCATAACAAGAGGCTATGTATTACACTACCTATCAACACATTTATAAAACTATAAGTTACTTATTTCTAATTCATTTATTTACCAATATTTTTAGTAAAGAAATGAAATAAAAATAATTGTTACCATTATTTATTTTTTAATATTTTTTTTTTCAGGTGAGTACATAAGAGATGCAATTTTTATCAGTAAGACAAAAAACATCACTCCAAGGACTATCATTTGAATCATCTTTTAAACCATCACAAAAAAATCTCAAAATAAATCCTAGTTAGGCTTAAATTATTATTAAGTGCTCAGGTCTTTTCTTATACAAATTTGTTGTAATTAAGATTCATTGTAGTACCAACTGAATCAGGAAAACAAGCAGAAACTAGGAACAAGCAAAGAAAAGACATAAATTAAGGAGAAAAGGCAAGCAATTAGGGTTGTCAAGAAAACGAGTCAGTTAATTATTTGAGTAAGAGATTGAGAAAAGGCAAATTTGAATTGTCTTTAAGTTTAATTTAAAGAACCTACAAAGTTGGTAAATTTTGCAAGAGTTAAATTATATAGATAAAAATTTCTTTTTTAGGTGCCTTGACAAGGCAAAAAATTTTAAAAATTATAATTTAAAATGTTAAATTAAATTATTAAATTATTAAATTAAAAAAAAAAAAACCTGTAGTATCCATTTTAGCATTTCTCCGAACACCTAATGCATAATCACATGTGTTATAAATGGCACCTATCTAAAAAAAAGTTAACCAAAAGAACAAGTTGTTAAAATGCTCAAGAATTATTTTTACAATAAAAACTTTAAAAAGCACAGAATTGAACAGAAACAAAATTAAATGAACACAAAATTATGAAGAAAACAAAATTAAAATAAAAATTTTAAGTACAAAAAAGAAATATTTTTAATTTAATATGTAGTGTTATTAATTTCAGACTGATTAAAAGTTTTAATTTAAAAGTTAAATAAAAAATGAAAAAACAAAAGTTAATTAAATCAAATAATTTTTTTAAACAAAAATAACCTTGCTACCATAAAGAATTGGATCAGAACTCAATTTTACAGATGTAAGATTTGTAGTTATAGCACCAATAACAATAGCATTGGTAATGGGACCTGTTAGCAACCAGAATATAGCAGCAATTTTTGCTGGAGTGCTTCGTGGAGTTTTATCGCCATAGCTGTGTAAAAAGTTTGATAATAACCATATTTTCATATGCTTATATATATATATATATATATATATATATATATATATATATATATATATATATATATATATATATATATATATATATATACTCTTGCATGGTAGTTAAAAAGAGTTTCCCATAAATTGTAGTTTTAAAGAGCGTGTTAATAAACCAGACCAGAAAAAGTTTAAAAACTTAAATTTTTTTTTTTTTTTTTAAATGATAGACTGCCTGCCCAAACCAAACCCTCAGTCGATGTAGCAGCACTCCCTTGCGAGTTCGGCTATTTGTCAGTCGTTGTAGCAGCACTCCCTTGTGAGTCAGGCTATTTGTCAGTCGATGTAGCAGCACTTCCTTGCGAGTCAGGCTATTTGTCAGTCGATGTAGCAGCACTCCCTTGCGAGTCAGGCTATTTGTCAGTCGATGTAGCAGCACTCTGTTGCGAGTCAGGCTATAAGATAGTCGATGTAGCAACATTTACGCATGTTTTAAAAATGTTTTTTAATAAAACAAAAACAAAAACACCACTAACAAAAAAAAACTTTCTAGTCGTTATAATTGCGGTTTTTTAAAAATTTTTTAAAAAACAATAAAATTTAATGTACTTCCGCATAAATTTAATTGCTTTGACATTTCGACTACAATCAAAAACAGCTTAAGAGACGAGGTAATTAAAATTGTAGTCGAATGAGACTTTTTTTACATTAAATGAATGTTGTAATAGCATAAAATCTTGATGAATCTTGAATGTTGTAATAGCATAAAATAATTATTTTTAAAAATAACACAATGTTTTTTATTCTTGACATGTTTTGAAAAATTTATTTACATTTTCAAAAGATTGTTTCATAATAAAAAAACTCTGAAATAAATTTTGAAAATAGAAGTCTTTACAGAGAAATACTAACAGACAAAAATTATACATAATAAACCAATATAGTTATTATAAAATAACTTGGTAAATAACTAATCATAATAACCAACTGTCAAAAAAAAAAAAAACTGACAGTAAAATTAAATAGATAAGTTTATAGTATAACGTAAAGTTTAATATAAAAAGAGAGACTTTCCCATTTAATGTGGAGGGCTTCTTTTGTCTTCAATTAATGTTTGGTTGAAGCATTATCCAAAATCTCAAAAAAATCAGAGTTAACCAGATTGCTGCAATTAACAGATAAATTTAAGTGTTTTAGTAAGTTTAAGTATTTTCATTTATTCTACTTGCCAAATGTCTGGAGGTTTCTACAATGTAACTTGCATTACAGCCAGCAAAAGAAAATTTATAGACAATATGAAATTTAAGCAGTTTGTGACTCTTTTAAGCAAAAAGAATCTTGTATTTTATTAGTAGTGAAAATTAATTTTATTATAACATCCTTTCAATATTTATGAACAATTTTTGAAATTTTTATTTTAGTATAATTAGAGGACATTCTAATGTATGCAAGCTTAAAGTATCTTATATTTAAGCTATTAACAATGTTAGAAACAGATGGGTTCATTTTCTTATCAATTTAAGGATTTAATTTCAGAATCAATAATTTTTTTGTGGAAATTTATTATTTTATAAAACTAGTGATAGATACTAAATATCTTTATCAAAACCAATCCAAGTATTATTAATTTTAAATGTACAATCAATCAAACAACAAACAAGTTCAAATTTTTAGCAAGAGGGAACAAAACTAAAAAAGTTTTAAAACCTGTGTACGTTTTTTTGTGGTAAACCGAAGTCGAAAGTGAATTAGATTTTTTAATAAATACATCTAAAATAGCAATCTGGTTATCTTGTTCTTTTTCCATAGTAAATTTTAAATTTTTATGTTGTTTATTAAGGTGTTTGAAAATTTCTTGAGCATCATATTCAGAATTTAAAATAACAATCATGTCATCCACATACCGTTTATAAAAAAAATGGTGCTGTAAAGGAGCAGTTATTGCCCCATGTTTGTTCATGAAATCCAACAAAAATATTGGCTAAGATGGGCACTAAAAGAGAACCCATAGCAACACCATCTGTTTGATTGTAATATTTGCACTTTATTTTTAAAAACAGTTACTTATTTTATGCTATTACAACATTCAAGATATATATATATATATATATATATATATATATATATATATATATATATATATATATATATATATATATATATATATATATATATATATATATATAGATATAGATATATATATAAATATATATATATTTATATATATACATATATATATGTATATATGTATATATATATATATATATATATATATATATATATATATATATATATATATATATATATATATATATATATATATATATATATATATATATATATATATATATATATATATATATATATACTCCATAAATCTTTTTTTAAACATTTTTATAGTGCTTTTAAGCGAAAAAGTTGTTAAAAATTATTATTTCATTATACCATAACATGTTTTTAAAGGTGTAAGAGTTTTAAAAACATATTTTAATTTTTTTATTGTAAAACCATAATTGAGAAGTTTTTTAATAACATAATTTGGTTTTAAATAATAATTTATACTTTTTTTCTTAAATCATTGATTGGGTCATTTTATTTGTTGTTTCCTAATATTGGATTTTTTGTTAAGACTGTCATGGTTGCTAGTCAGGACAAAAAAATCTTAAAAAAGCTTGTAAAACTAAAAGAAAAAACAATGAAACTTAGCACATAACAATATCAATATGTTCTAAATACGTACACCAAATGATTTTTTTTTTACCATTTTGTTCGCTGCATTAAGTTTGATAGATTGTTTTGTTAAAAAATGGTAAAAAGTAAACTTTACAATCGTCACGCTATATAGAATTAATTTTTGAAAAAAGTTGAAGACTTTAATGCTGTAACTTTTGCATACTAATGCGGTAGTGGTGTAGTGGTAGAGCCCTTGCCTCATAAACGAGTGGTTCCGAGTTTGATCCCCACCACGTCCCTGGTAGTACTGCGCTCAACTCGTTTCTCCGCGCAGCAGCCTTGTTCGTCAAGGTTCGTGTTTCGGAGTTATAGAGTTGAGAGAGGGTTATAGCCACAAAATAAGTAGCCTCCTCGTTTGTAGTGGCCTTCTCGGCCTTGAGGAGGTGAAGTAAAATAAAAAAAAACAAAAAAAAAAAAAACTAAAGTATATGATAGTAATTCACATTTCTGGAAAATTTTGAACCATATCCATTTTCAGTTTATTTTTAATAGCTTAAAGAGGGTTAAATGTTTTGACCGTCACTCTTGCAAAATTGCCTATATATATATATATATATATATATATATATATATATATATATATATATATATATATATATATATATATATAATAAAAATAATAAGGTATAGCTGTAACAACTGGTGTTATCAGTTGTGAAGTGCAATAATGGTAAATATTGCACTGTAACAGCTCACTTTGTTTTTTGTTTATGTTTTAACAAAAAGTTTCTGCAAAATTTAATGAAGCAGTTTCTACAATTTCAGATAGTAAGTTATTCCAAATAATAATTCCACGCATTTACAACTGGATTTTGGTAAAAGTAATATCTTGAATTTTAAAATGTTGAATAAGGTCTCCACATAGTCTACTTTCTTCTCAGTCGTTAATTGCATATCTAGCTTCATAAGGTAATTTTTTAATTGTAGGTGCTAACTTGGTTGCTCTTTTTTGGATTATCTCAATTTTGTCTATATTTTGTTATAGGAATGGAGACCATGCCTGGACCGCAAACTCAGATGTGGATGTATGAATATTGTATAAAGCTTTTTTGCTATGTGTATATCTAAATTTTATATGTTCTCTTTATGATACTTAATATTCTGTTTGGTTAGTTACTGAATCAACTTGTGAGTGCCATTTTAGATCTGATTGAACTATTATACCTAAATCATGTTCAGCTTCTGTGTTACATAATATATAATTGTAATTGCAATCAATATCAGTCATTATAAATCTAACATTAGGATTTTTCTTTCTGATATGCATAATTTTGCATTTTTTATAATTAAATTTTGTGAGCCAGATAGATGTTTATTATTTTACTATCATCAGCATCAAGATGAGAATATATATATATATATATATATATATATATATATATATATATATATATATATATATATACATATATATATATATATATATATATATATATATATATATATATATATATATATATATATATATATATATATATATATATATATATATATATATATATATATATATATATATATATATAGTAAAAGTTGGTGAAATACTTATTTAATTTATTATTATTATTACTATTAACATTATTGTTATTATCATTATTATTATTATTATTATTATTATTATTATTATTATTATTATTATTGTTATTATTATTATTATTATTATTATTATTATTATTATTATTATTATTATTATTATTATATTAGACAGACATTTAAGAATTTTCTGGAAAAATAATTTTATTATTAATTTCTAGAATGCCTTCAAACTATATTTTTGCCAGGACAAAAATCCAATTCAAATCATACAGTCAACAAACCAATTTAATAAAAATATATTTTCAGGAAAATAAGCATTTTGTTTTGTTATATTTTAATAAACACAGGAGTTTTCTTGAACTTTAAAAAAAACATTTAAAAAAAAAAACATTTTACCTTTCTTTAATTTAATATATATATATATATATATATATATATATATATATATATATATATATATATATATATATATATATATATCATACATATATATATATATATATATATATATATATATATATATATATATATATATATATATATATATATATATATATATATATATATATATATATATATATATATATATAGGCTTACCATAGTTTTGAAGTTATAAACTGGGACACGCAGGGATTGTGGCGACGGAGGGAGTTGTATAGAAAAAGGTATTGGTATATGTGTGTATGTAGAGGGGAGGGGGAGAAGGGGAGGGGTTGTTGCAAAATG